AAGTCGCCAGTTCTCATCTTCCAGCTCCCCAGCTACTCCGCGTACTAAAGTTGTACTACAAAGTCGCCAGTTCTCAGTTCTCAGCTTCCAGCTCCACAGATTGCTCCGCGTACTAAAGTTGTACTACCAAGTCACCAGTTCTCAGCTTCCAGCTCCACAGCTACTCCGCGTACTAAAGTTGTACTACAAAGTCGCCAGTTCTCAGCTTCCAGCTCCACAGATTGCTCCGCGTACTAAAGTTGTACTAGAAAGTCGCCAGTTCTCAGCTTCCAGCTCCCCAGCTACTCCGCGTACTAAAGTTGTACTACAAAGTCGCCAGTGCTCATCTTTCGGCTCTCGAGATGCTCTGCGTACTAAAGTTGTACTACAAAGTCGCCAGTTCTCAGCTCCCAGCTCCACAGATTGCTCCGCGTACTAAGTTGTACTAGAAAGTCGCCAGTTCTCAGCTTCCAGCTCCCCAGCTACTCTGCGTACTAAAGTTGTACTACAAAGTCGCCAGTTCTCAGCTTCCAGCTCCACAGATTGCTTTCGCGCGCTCGACACGCACGATCTCCGCAGAGGGTTGCGCGCACAGCCGGCAAATCGCACTCTCGCCTGTATTTCGCGCGCTCGACACGCACGATCTCCGCAGAGGGTTGCGCGCGCAGCCGGCAAATCGCACTCTCGCCTGCATTTCGCGCACTCGACACGCACGATCTCCGCAGAGGCTTGCGCGGGCAGCCGGCAAATCGCACTCTCGCGTGCATTTCGCGCACTCGACACGCACGATCTCCGCAGAGGGTTGCGCGCGCAGCCGGCAAATCGCACTCTCGCCTGCATTTCGCGCACTCGACACGCACGATCTCCGCAGAGGGTTGCGCGCGGACCGGACAAATCGCACTCTCGCCTGCATTTCGCGCACTCGACACGCACGATCTCCGCAGAGGGTCGCGCGCACACCCGGCAAATCGCACTCTCGCCTGCATTTCGCGCGTTCGACACGCACGATCTCCGCAGAGGGTTGCGCGCGCACCGGACAAATCGCACTCTCGCCTGCATTTCGCGCACTCGACACGCACGATCTCCGCAGAGGGTTGCACTTTCGGTTGACGCTGCTTGTCCCGCACTCCGCCTTTAAGAGAGAATTTATAAAGTGGGGAAATGTTTTTTCATTAGGACATCTCCCGTGCTAGTTTTCCATACTCACACTTGCCTACTCATTGCATGCTTGTATACTCATTGCGTGCTTGCATACTCACCCTTGCATATCATGCTTGCATACTTACACTTGCATACTTTGACACTGGCATACTTCGCACTTGGATGCTTTCGCTCGTCCAGTGTGTGTGTGTGTGTGTGTAAGTGTAAGTGTCGAAGTGTAAGTGTTCAAAGGATTTTCCGGAAGAACCCTTCGCAATGCTTTCGGGAAAAATGCATTTCTTACATCACCACCCGCTCCAAAATCACAAAAAATCACCTCCAAAACAACCTCCAAAACCTTGCTTCCGTGCACCCTAAACACCACCTAACTTCGAGTACGTACGGGTTTCTACGGCCACCCCCTCCAGACCCGCTACTTACTCACTTCGATCGCCAAACGCAACTCAGCTGGCACCTTCTACGAAGGCTGGCTTTCGTATTACCGGGACACCATCACAAGATGACCGGGACAACATCACAACATGACCGGGACAGGACACCATCAAAACATGACCGGGATACCATCACAACATAACCGGCGCACCGGCAAAACATGACCAGGAACATGACCTGGACCCCATCAAAACATGACCGAAAAACCGTCACAACATGAGAGACACCATCACAACGTGACCGGGACACCGTCACATGATGACCGGGACATCATCAAAACATGACCGGGACACCATCACAACATAACCGGGACACCAGCGCAACACGACCGGGACACCATCACAACATGACCGGGACACCATCACAACGTGACTGGGCGCAATCAAAACATGACCGGGAACGACAACATGACTGGGACACCATCACAACATGACCGGGACACCATCGCAACATGCGCGAGACACCATCACAACATGACCGGGACACCGTCACAACATGACC